AAGAAAGAAAAACTAATTAGCCTTTCAGGGGTCCTTCCAGACTTCAGAGCCTGGGGTCTGAGGGTGTCCTGAGCTGGTACCTGGTGACAGAGGGCAGAACACGGAGAGGCAGCTAGTTAGAGCGCAGAATGTCATTCACTGAACTGTGACAGGGGCCGCGTGAGGACCAGCTGGAGCGACGAACCTGGTGAAGGGCACGGACAGCGAAAGGCCTGAACGGACTCACCTCCGACAAGGCTTCCTGAGGGGTCACTGCAGTGCTGGCCTCTCCCCTCTCCTGACCCCACGCGCACCCTCTGCAGGAAGCCCCCTTAATTCTGCAATTTGCGCTTTTCTCCATTGTAGCCTAAGCACCACGGCCGTCTGTCTGTCCTGCTTCCCAAGGCCCTTGGCAGCACGTCCGCCTTCACTTGCCGTGAATTATTTGTGCATCCCTTTGACAGATGTTACCACCGAGTGCCTACTACGTGCCGAACACAGACTGCCTTTTTGGTAACCGACTTCTCTGGGCAAAGGGGATAAACATCCTCCCCGAGCACATCTTCTCAGTCTCCAGAGTCGGGAGAGGTTGGAAGCTTGACAGTTGTCAGGGAAGCCTACGCAGGGCGTGAGGCACGCAGGCTGACTGTGGCTGCAAAGTCCCAGCGCCCTCCCGGCCCGCCTGGGAGAGAACACATGGGCTGTGCGAGATGTCACCCCCCCAGCCAGGCGTGGGGGCCATCGCCCCCCGTGTGTCCGGGCCTGCCACCCGGCCCGGCCTGCGGCCCTGCTCTCCTCTTGCAGCCTGTAAGGCTCAGCGCCTAAGCCTCAGTGAGGTGTTGTCCCTGTGCCTTCCTGCGAAGCTCCCTCTGAGGCCCCCCCCACACACACACACACTGCCCCCAACTTGTGTTTCCTCGTAAGATGAGCAATTGTTCCTTCCCAGGGCATCTCCGCGCGCGAGGAGGGTGTGGGGGAACGAACGACCAATTTCTTCTTCTCTGTCTCCCTAGCTGGGCTGACGTTCCCAACAGCTTCCTCAGTGAGAATCAAACCCGAGCTTCTCCTGGCGGCTCCCCCAGCTGCACGGAGCGGCTCAGGCGCTTCCTCCATCATGGCAGCGTTTCTCGGAAGTGTCTGCACCTGTGTCATTAGAGCCTCCCCAGCTGGAGCCAGCTTCACAGTCACACGCACAGAAAGCGCGGCCCTCAGCCCAGCCTGCGCGCCTGCCCCACGTCCCCAGGCTCTCCGTGACCCTGTCCCCGTCCTATCACCTCTTCAAGCTCGTCGCCAATCTTTAATTCATTGGGCGCTTATCTTTTCTCTGCACTTGACCCGAGGATGTACTCAGGGCTTGAGAAAAAGTGTCTCCACTCCCTCCTGCAGACCCAGGAGCCCTGCTCCACATGGCGCTTCCACGTGGCTTAACAACGTTACCAGAAGCTTTGTTGGTCAGTGGCCCCGCTTATCAGCCACTGTCTAGTCTGAACGGCCCACACCGAGACCCACATAAACCAGCGAAGATGGGGGGAAATGAACGTCTAGTAAAATGACAGTAAAGACACAAACATCGCCTTCCCCATTTACTCTCTATGGGTCCTGGAAACCCCAGCATGGCCACACAGGCGAGGCGGCCAGGAGCCCCTGTGAGGTGTGGATAAACACCCCCCCCACACTCGCAGCCTTTATCATCTGCAACAGAGACCTGACGTAAGCCGGACCCCTGCAGCCGTGAAGGGTTTGTGGCACTTTATCAACATCCCAGGGAAATTCTCCATCCGAAGCTCAGCCTCCGTCACTCCTCACGCCCTCCCAGTGTCGTGGGGACCGTGAACTTGGTATCAGGACTAGTCAACACCAATGGACAAAAATCACAACAGTCACGCTGGTTGCTTTATAAGTATGGTGACAACCTTTTGGAAGTCGTAATAATAACACTTCACTTGAGAATACTCTCATCTTTTTCCAAAGAGCAGTGTTTACTTGTAAAAAAAAAATTAAACTTGTTCAGAGAAATTCAAGAGACTCTGAAAATCAATTTTCAAAAGAAGCCTAAAATTCCAAGCTGAAAAATCACTGGTAAAAGTAAGACCTTCAAACGACTCAAGGGTCCTTTTCCACTGACTTAGGTCCCCACGCACATAGCACAGGGGTCAGCCTGTCACAGGTGCACACTGCGGGGGTTGCATGTTTGGACTATTAGTCTCTTTAAGCACATAAAAACATGTGAGGCCTACTTTGAGTTTTAGTAAGTAAAGACTTTAGTAAGTAAAAAGCTAAATAAATAAATACAGTTTCTGCAAAGACGTCAATGCTGACTCTGGCTTAATGCTTTTCTAAGCTCTGGGATGGGGGTGGTTTCGAGAATCGAGAATCGCAGCCCTCCTTACAGGAAGGAAACCTGCTTTCTTATAAATCAGCATTAGAATCACTGCTTCTGCCAAGGCCGAGATTTTTAGCACAGGGTTGGGAGTTCTTGATGACTTTTCATTAATCCACTCTTTTCTGCTCCCTGCCTTCTAGAGAGAAATTAATTTAGGAAAAGTTTCCTTTTAATTGCATCTCTTGTTAGCTGCTGGAACCAGACGTATCTGATTCTATTTAAACTATGTTAGGATTGGGAAGGACGTTAAGAGAACAACAAACCCAACTTTCATTTCTTAAATAGGAAACAGAATCCTAGGAAAGTGAAGTAAGTTGCTCATGGGCGCAAATTTAGATCATGACAAACGGTGTTTGCTCCTGAGGCTTCACCAGCAAGCTTCCTGCTCTGATAAATGACACGTTGGTCAGATTTCTGCAGCTGAATTCTATTTCAAATGCAACAGAGAAGGCCCAGTTTAATTTTCAGTGGAGCTTGCCATAAAAAAGATGGTCTTGTCATGCATGCATGTGGTCTTAAATGATCTGATGTGGAGATTTAAATATCTTTACCTAAGCCTTGAGGCACAGCCCTGCTCCTCTGTGGCTTAGGGAGAAGAAATGAAAGGTGGGAAGCCTGTGGAGATGAGTTGGGGTGGGGCGCAGAGGCAGACAGCAGAGCCTGGAAGTCAGGCTGGGAAGCACAGAAGTGCCTTCTCCCATAGGACGGACTGCCTGATTCTCCTGAGGAGCGCGTGCTGACAGCTCCCCAGCTCCCAAACGCTCCCAGGAAGGATTACAATCGGAAATACGACTCTATTTGCAATGGTCACAGATGGGGAGAAATTGTGTAACTGGACCCAATGATTGCAGGGATCAAATACATGCTGGCAAATTAAAGGTGGTCCAGGCAGTCTGCAAAAGAGCGGTTCCTCAGCCCCTATAATATTCTACTTGAACACCCGGAGCATGAGAATTGACTGTGCGTGAAAAGATACAGAAAGTGATTCAATGCTAACGCCGCTAGTGAATCAGCTATAAAACAGTAAGAGGCATCCATGAGAGGAAAGCCCCCTCCACGTGCCTCAGTAAATGTCAGGAACACACATGATGACATTACGAACGACGACAAACTTTCAGCAACCGTTCGCGGATTATTCACTGAATGCCAGGCAGTGGATAGTAGGATCTCAACGTGTCTGGAGGACAATTTGAGAGTCAATTGTTCCCCAATTAATAAGGTAAGAGTGCAGATTTACCCACTGCCCGAAAGCACAGAGCAATTCGAAGAGAAAGTGGGCGGAAGGCGCCCCCTGAGGCCGTTGTGAAAGGTAAATTGTACTTCTCAGAGCTGCGAAATGGAGAAGGAACCAGTTGTGCATCCTCTCCTGTTCAGGGAACTCCGGGCCCTCTCACCTGCCCGTGTCCCGTTCCTTCGGCTTCCTGGGGAGGGGGGACAGGCTGAGGGCAGTGCCAGCGACCACAGTGCATCTGCTCTCCTCCCCACGTCCAGGGCCAGCATCACCCCACTCACAACAGCCTAACTCCTGTTACATGAACATTGCTGCTTGCTGTGACATGTATCTTTACAAACAATCTGAGCTTTTGACAGCAGGGTGTAAGGGTAGCTTTTATTCTTAGTCACTGCACAGTTTTGTTGCAGACAAATCCCTTTGCTAGAATACCATCTCTTTAACAATCATTTGGAGGTTATTTCCAAGGTAAAAGTGGCCCAAAAGAAGACCTGAGGTTGTAAGCTACAGGAATCACCGGTGCCCACGGGAGAGGTCCGCCTTCTCAGGCTGACGCAGCCAGGGCCTGGGGGGTCGACATGCACAGGGCCACCTTCATTTCCTATCAACAGTGAAGGCTCACCCCGAAAGTCATCAAACCCAGTCTTAAGAAGAGGAGGAGACGCACCCCGCCTCTCTGCACCAGGTAGGAGTGTTGGGTTAAGTTTTCTAACAGGCCAGACGTGTATTCTTCTAATTACACAGGTACTTTGGGTCCCCTCCAGGACGCTGCCCAGGTAAGGGCGACCCGGCAGCCTCAAAGGGCTTCTGCACGCGGCTAAGAGGGAACGCCACCTGGGGACAAGCTGTGTGTCCCCAGGGCTTTCCTCTGCTCCGCAGTCCGGCTGCTCCCACCTGAGGGGGTGAAGATAGGATGCAGGCCGGGAAAGGCCCAGCCTCACGCAAGCCGGCTTTCCCCCCGGTGTGCACTCGAACGCCACTAACACGGTTACGTCTGTACGGTTTGCCCGTGCCAGGCGGGGTTCTGGGCATGCCGTGTGCAGTCAGTCACTCATTCAGTCCTCAAAGCCAGCCCATGGGGCAGATATGCAAACGGAGATGCAGAGACCCACCACCACACGGAGTGGAGCCGGGACCCCCGCCCGGGCAGTCTGATGTGGGGTCCACGCTTCCGACCACACCCTGACCGCGCCTGCTCGGGGGACAGTCACCTGCTCGGAGGGAAGGGTGTGTGGACACTCTGGTGTCCAGGCTGGGGACTTGCACAGGACACAGCTCCCAGTCTGCAGTCAGGCACCCCTCAGCTGCCTGTCCCCGCCGCAATGGCCCTCGGTTGCCGCTGGGTAGCCCCCCCTGAGTAAAGACTCCCCATCCCTCCATCACTTCAGCCAAAAGAGCTGGTCTCACCTTTCCAGGCATGAATGGGGCAAAGCTGCAAGTCCTTTGCACATTTTTGCAGGTAGCCCTCAGCTTTGAGTTCAAATTCTTAAACGTGGAGCGAACGGGTCTTCGTAAACCTCAGATGTGCCTGGGCTGGTCCCTCTGCGGGTTATATAGAGGCCCTTCCTGGCTTGCTGGGCTCGGACCAATCGGAGGCCCGGGAAGCAGCTGCTGGGAGCAGCCTCTGCAGGGCGGGGGCTGCGTCCCCTGGGCCCTGCTGGGCTCGCAGCTGCTCCCACCAGAGAAGCACCAGTGGCGTATCTGCCGGGCAGGGTCCCCCGTTCTCACTGGGAATCTGGAGTCTGTCATAGGCTGACAGGACAGCAAGGGCCCCTGGAGACCACTTAGCGAGACTTTGTTTCTCAGGACACGTTTAGAGATGAATCATAAAATATTTAGACGAAATAACATATCAACACTCGTATAATATTTTATAATTTTCATTGCAGCGTCCTCTTAACCCATGATTACTAAGAGATGTGGGCTTTTGTTTTTGTAGTTTACTTTCAAAATGTATTATTTTTAATGTGACACTTCGTTGCGGACGTGTGACTTAATTGCATCACAGTCAAGATAATGTGGTCTGGAAATTTTAAACTCTGTTGAAATCTGTCTGTTAGTTTTTGGCAAATAGTCCTTACATGCTTGGGAAAATGTATATTTACTTTTTCGTAGATATAGACAAGGTTCTACACAGCAATACCTATTGTAATTATGCATTTTATTTGAATCTTCTCCACACTTAATTTGATGTCTATCAGTTACTGATATATTTTAATATACCCAATATGACAAAGATTTTTCATTTTCTTCTAGTAACTGAGATAGTATTTGCTTTGTACGTTATGAAACTGCACTGTTAGATGCCTACAAGGTCATGGTCATTGTACCTTTTAATTGAGTGACACCCAGATACAGATATAGATACAGATACAGATATAGATATAGATATCTCTGTTGTTGTCTCTTTTAATGATGTTTGCTCTAAAATCAGTATTGTCTGATATCACCTTTTCTACCTCACCTTTGTTTTGATGAGTAGTTGCTTATGTTCATCATTTCTGGGTCTTTTTTAAATTAAAAAAACATATCTCTGTGTTTCAAATCTAATAGTCTCTTTCCCTTAATAACTGGTAAGTATAATTGTTCTCCATTAATTGTGATCAATAATATACATGAATGTAATATTTTTACAGCCCTAGTTTGTGTGAACAGTTTCCTCCTTTTTTTAAGCACTGAGTTTATTTATTCCTTTCTATTATGCTTTACTCACTTGGTAGCTTTACATTTTATTGTTTTCGTGGTTACCCAAGATTTTTACTGTGCATATTAAATTAATTGTAACAGACTGAACATTACTTGGTGTCTCTCTCCTGTCCCCAAGTAAAACAAAACCCCCACAAAGCAGGAAGCTGTTGTTTCTTTTCTATTTACCGTAGTCACTAGGAGGCTGCCCTCCGGTCACACTGATTTTGTTCCCAATTGTTGTTTCTCATCTCAGACGTTTCCACTTGTTTCGGTGGTTCTTTCATCAAGGATCTGGGGGAGTGGACTTTACAGATCCTTGTATTTCTAAAAGAAAAGTTAGGTTGGTTGTAGAACAGCCGTTGCAGCATTTCGTTCCTGTTCACCAAGCATTCTGAAGGCGTCTGTCTACTTCGCCACCTCCTGGCCTCTGTCGCTGTCCCGTGCTTTGCGCCTTGTCCTGGCGTCTCTCTGGGAGCAGTGGGCTGGCCTCCCTTTGCAGTGTGAGGGGCGCACACGGGCGCGCCTTCTCGCTGGTCCTGCCTGGCTTGGAGGCCTTCCCGACACGCGAGCCCGGTCTCTCCTGGGCCTTAGACGTTCTCGGCACAGTGCCTCGCTGCTCCATTCTCTCCTCTTCCTTGGGGCTCCCAGTAGACAAGGTTGGGCATCGCTTTCTATCCTCCGTTTCACCCTTCATCCTTACATCTCCTTCTCTCTCAGTTTCTGAGCAGCATTCAGAAGGATTGTCTCGGTGTTACCTTCCAGTTTGCTAATTCTGAATTCAGCTGTGCAATTCTACTGTTTATTCCTAAAATGAGGCATTTGATTTCTTAAAATTTGAATGGCTATACATTGAATTTTTAAGATTTCTACTTGACCCATTTGAATAACTACCCTTGTTCTAGTTTTATGAATATAATGTGCTACTTTTGTGCCTTAAATGTTTTAAAAACACTTGCCTGCATTTTAAGGGATGGCAACGGCCTTTCAGGGGGACAGTGTGACATCATGGACTCCAGCACAGACCGGAGAGGGAGAACGTGCCCCATTCAAACCACAGCTCTGCCTCCGATTGACTGCGACACAGTTCCAGCCTGGGGTGTTATGTTTTGTGGAATTGCCTCCTGGGGGGTTTTCTCCCCAGAGTGACCTGGGTGTCACAGACAGCGTGATGCTCAGGTTTCTGGTTTACACCAGGTTTGTGTCCTGGCTGGAGCCTGGGGGTGTGGGTGGGGGGTGAGCAGCTTAAATCCGGGCCGTGCACGTGATGCACGTGGAAGACCCACGGGACAAGCGAGGGATTTCTGAAATGAGGAGGAGGAAGCTGGAGGGAGGGGCGTGGGCTTGGCTCCAGGTCCCGCCCCAGGGGCTGGATGGAGAGATCAACTTGCAGATGACACTCACTGAGGAGCTGTGGGTGCAGAGCTCCAACTGTAAGACGCCTGCTGGCGAATGGGGGCTGAGGAGGTGGAAGCAGTGAGTCAAGACACTTCTTCCAAAAAGTTTGGCGGGGGTTGTGGGGGGCGATGATTGGAAGAAGATAAGTGACATGGTAACTTGAGCAGATAAAGGACGGATGGGAGGTGAGCGTGTCTGCAGGGAGAAGGTGGTGGTCAGGCTGAGGTTCTAGTCGCCTTCCACCCGAGACAAAGGGAAGTGAAAGGAAGGCATTTACAGAGAAGCGGGCAGAAGACGAGGCTCCGGTCTTCTCTGCTGAGCAGATGGAGGCGTTAAGAGCTTTGGGAAAATGCTCACTCACTGTTTCCATTCGGTTCATGGAAGAAGGGCAACTGCAGTCCCCCCATGTGTTGTCAAACTGCTAAATATTCTGACAGATGGAACGCTCCTGTAGGGATGGCCCCACTGCACCCAAACTCCATTCAGCTGCAGAACGAGATGGCGCCCGTGGCAATTCCAGGAGCCCCTCACTGTGTGTGCTAAGTCAGAAGTTGGGGGGAGTTGGACTTTCTGCTTCTAGAAGACACTGAAAACCAAGAGCCCTCCCCTGTCTCTGAAGGGGACAGGCAGTCCACATAGTTCCGTAAGAGCTGCCTTTCTGGTGGAATTGCCCTCGTGGACTATTTAGCCTCAAGGTCAGTAGTGGCTGTTAAAAAAGTTGTCCGTCTCCCAGGAGAACAGCAGCCTCCCCCAATAAATAACTTCTGTTGAAAGAACATTCTGTAAGTCCATGTTCTAACTACAAATATCATCCATCTTAGCACTGGAGGACATTTAGAAAACAAATCCTTTCTTGATCTTTCTGAGCCCAAATGTCTGGGACTTAATTCCCTCTCCGTGAACGAAGCAGGATCGCTTGGACGGAGGTTAGTCTTTCTGTCCTTGACCTCTGTCTTCTTCATGAACTTTTTCTAGTTTTGGTTCCCACGTGGGAAGGGGGGACCTCGAGGTCCCCTTCCATTGCTAACATGCTGGGCTCTTGGATCCTGGGGGATTGCCGCGATTTGTGCCTTAAATCCATAGTGTAGTCCAAACTTCTTGAGACTAAATAGGGGACACATTTTGTCTGTGGGTCCCTAAAGCACATAGGATGAAGGACTTGCATCAGTAACTCTCTTTACTGACAAGGTAAATGAGTTCATTAAGTAAATGGCAGTACCTAATTGTAGCATTACTCAAGGATGCCATCTTTTTGAGACTTAGAGAAGAGGCCATTCCATGCGGACAGAACACTCATCTACACGGCTTCATTGGTGGGACACGGGCTGAGTGTGGCCCTAGTCTGCTTTCTTGGTCAAGGGCTCTTGTGCAGATTATAACCCTCACGGCTGTACTGGGCAGTCCTGCCTGCACCATTCTACCTCCCGTGAAGCCTCAGGAGTGGGCACCCTAACAATTCACCCACAGGTCTGCAAGTAGCCTGAGGGGACACCTGTCCTGGGAACCACCACGACAGTCACGTAGACCAAACCACAAAAAAATACACACCGTCCTCTGAGATTCTGTAAGGGGTCAGTGCCACCATGGCTCCTAGCCCTCCACCTCGAGCATTGCCGGAAGCGAAGCCTCCTGCTCCCCAACTTCTGAGCTCATGCTAGTCCGACTCTCCCCTCCTTCCCTCACGCCCCTGGCCCTCTGTCTCGCTCTTCAGTAATTAGCTTGCTTCCCTTATCTTCAGCTTCTCTTCTTATCATTCCCACTAATTCTTGGACTTAACTGACATTCAACTTCTCCTCAACTTAGAAGATTTTTTTTTTTTGCTATGTTTGTTCCGTTTTGTTTCTTCATATCCTGTGGCTTTCAGGATCAGGAGGAAATTTAGTTTTCTCCCTGCTTTACATTGTCACGTGGAAATTAGCAAGCCTCCACGCTCTCACACAACCAGCTGATCCTCTAAGACGTGTATCCCCTGGAAAGAACACTGGGCAGACGCGACTGTGTGTTATTCACTCTCGTTTTCTTTCCAAAACAGAAAGCTAATTTTGTATGGAGCAATACATGACCAGTTTTTTATAAAATTAAAAGTAAACTGCCCTTGCAGCTAAGATTAGCCAGTCCCATGACTATTGAATGTGGTGGAGGCAGAAACCTCCGGACAGAACTGCCGAGCTCGCCTGGAAAGCAGGGGACTCAGCTGGCTCTCTGCTTGTCCCCCCCCCCCCCCCCGACCCCCGACTGTAATGACAGCTTGAGGCTGTGTGGCATCAGGTGGGCATTCCAGCGTGGTAACCTTCAGGCAACAGCCACACGGTAGAGATGGTTTAGAAGAAAGACAGAAGGAGCGTGTGGAGAGCTTTCGCCTACACTTCCTGTCAGGCAAGAACAACATGGAGGTCCTCGTTTATTTGCCCATGTCTGGAGCTGAGTAAAACCTGCAGCTTCTCCGGGTTCC